CCCCCCAACCCCCCCCCCCCCCCCCTCCCAAAAAAAAAAAAACTAACTAACCGTAAAATTCAGGGTTTAGGGTTCAGGATTTATGGTTGAGGGTTTAGGGTTGGGGGTTTAGGGCACTAATACCCAAACCAATAAAGTAGAGCCCCTCCTTTTGTAGCTTCAGGCGTGGTGCGACTTCGTCGCTGACATGATGACGACATTGTAGCGGTTTCTTCCGCCTGTGGCTTCCTGGAGGATGCTGTTTAGATTCAGGGTTTAGGGTTTAGGGTTTAGGGTTTAGGGGTTCCTGGAGGATGCTGTTTAGATTCAGGGCCACTCTCAGGATTTACAGGGCTTGTATGTGGGTGGTTGTCAAAATTAGGGTCCCTTTTTGGGTACCCTAAATACTAGGTGCCGTACTATATTACGGACCCCAAAAGGGACCATAATTTTGACAACCACCCATGTGGTTCTACAAGGGCCGCTTTGGGTTTTTACGGGGCTTTGGGTTTTGGTGTGTTTGGCTGTAAGGCCCTGTCTTCTGTTGATCGTGTCCCTGGTCGTCTAAGTCATGTCCATTGCATCTCCTCCCCGACCCTATTATAGACCTTAAACCCTTTTTGCATCTGGGCTTCGGGAAGTCGGCCGGGAAAGAAACAACAAAACCCCTAGACCCTAAACATCTTGCTGCAGCTGACTCCACGTCCGGGCAGGAGTCCCAGAACTGAGGGGCTTTAGATCTACAGCATGTGGGAAATTCTTCACTTTAGGCATCTGTTCGGGCGTCCTTAGATTAAGGATCCGGCTTTCAAGTTCTTGATTAGGGCCAATGCTTAGGGACCGTGATAGAAACCCCCATCTAGCTCAAACCAACAGCATCGCAGCGCATCCCTATCCAATCCCACCTGCGATCCCCGACTGCACAATGCCACGCACACTCTGCGCCTAGGCATCTCTGACTATTCATGCACATCCTTGTGCCTTTCACCGTTTCACCTCTGCCTGAGCTTTGGCAGTACCAGCTGCGCTCGTGTCTTTGCGTTCGCAATCACTACCAGAACCGGCAACACGGTTTCACGCCTTCTGCCACCTACTCTGAGCTTAGATGTGGTCCCACAACCCGAGCTGGAAGTGATCCAAGGTTTCTGAATTCAATGGGAAAAATGACAGTACGGACGTAGTTCCAAGGACTGCCCTTTCCAAAACCCCCCAAAACCCGACTCCTTTTCCTGTTTGCAATACAAAAACAGAAAACTAAACCCTAAACCATTAAACCCTAAACCCTAAACCCTAAACCATTAAACCCTAAACCATTAAACCCTCAACCCTGAACCATTAAACCCTAAACCATTAAACCCTCAACCCTAAACCATTGAACCCTAAACCATTAAACCCTCAACCCTAAACCATTCAACCCTAAACCATTAAACCCTAAACCCTAAAACATTGAATGAAACCCTAAACTCTAAACCATTAAACCCTAAACCATGAAACCCTAAACCCTAAAACATTAAACCCTGCACCCAAGCAGTCGGGGGCCTCCGCTCGGAAGGTGCCCCGAAGGTGGTCCCGGAGATTTGACCGCCAGGCGCTGACCAGGAAACTGTTCAAGGGCCGGGGCGCCTCCCAGAGGTGTGGGATTTAGAGGTTTCGACTCTCACACTCGCACAAGGCCGGCAAGGCTCCGCATAGTTTAGAGGTTTAGGGCTTCGGGAATTTAGAGGTTTAGGGTTTAGGGTTACGGCTTCCTTGGAAGGGTTCCCTCACAGGTGTGGGATTTAGAGGTTTTGGGTTCAGGTTTTGGGGTTTAGGGTTTAGGGGTAGGGCTTGCTTGGAAGCGTTCCTTGAAGGGTTACTACAAGTAGACTACAAGGGTTGTTTTGCTTAGGCATTCAGGCATGGAATATCGATTTAGGTTTTATAGGATAAGGATTCAAGTTTTACCATCTCATTGGGATTTAGGATTTAGGGGCTAGGTTTCATGTTTAGTATTGAGGATCTAGGGCTTCGACGCTTTAGGATCTAAGACTTAGGCTGTGTCGAAGGTTGTATCACTCTCGTGGTCAAGCTTTAACGGCGATCTCGAAGCGAAAACGGTTCTGTCACATACATGGAACCCTTTTTCACACCCCACAGTAGCCACACAAAACCCCTCTATGACAAGAGTAAGGTCTCTTAAACGAGGCTCCAGTTTTTTTCACTGACCTGCTGCATGGCCTCCCTTCTCCAAAGGCGTCCAAAGGCCCTTTATTCATCGCAACAGAACGGCCATTCTTCTGCAACTTGAAATTTAGGCACGCAGGGGCACAATTTGTTCCGTTTTGAACTGGATGTTCTGCACTCCTCTGTGTGGGAATTCCTGGGCTGAGCATTTGTATTCAGGATCTGTTGGCCTGAAAATCTCAACATTCAAGGCCTGCAGGCTGTGACCCACCAAGCCACAACCTATCCCAGCATCGTAACGGAGCAGCCTAAATCGCCTAAACCCTAAACCCAAACAGCATCCTTGTCGTTCAGAGGCGTCAGGATCACCAGGTTGTCATCCGCATCGCGCCATTCCAGAAGCCTGGCTTAAGGTCAGGGCTCCAGGCCCTGACTCCGAACTTGCGCTCTGCAGGCTTTAGGGTGTAGGGTCTACAATAAAAAGAGATCAAGCCCTCAAGGCATTTTGATTTAGGCTTTAAACCCTCTACCTGAACCTTTTTTTGCTTAAGGTCCTTCCACTTTAAGCTTGAACCATCAGCCCTGATGCGGGGGTTCCCACCGGCTTGGATCCCAAAATCGCCAAACGGAAGCAATATATGGTTTAGATTAAGGGTTTAGGGCCGGAAAGGCTAAGTGCTTTCTGGCGCCGGCTGAGCCCACGACCTAAACCCTAAACCCTAAACCCTAAACCCTAAACCCTAAACCTTAAACCCTAAACCCTAAACCCTAAACCCTAAACCCTAAACCCAAAGCCTCAAAATCCCAAACCCTTGTGGTAGTCTTATGGGAAACGGAACCTGTAAAGGAATCTTTAAAGTCTTAAAGGAACTTTCAAGTTTAGGGTTTAGGGTTTAGGGTTTAGGGTTTAAGAAAACATCTCAAAATCGTCGACCCACACATCTTCAGTGGAGTCAAAGGTGCTGGCCACGAGTGAGAATCAGCCTTGGCTGGCTGAGGCTTCGTTGCTGCTACTGATCAGGGCCTTCAGACTAAGACCGGGGCTCCTTTGAGGCCTCGTCTTCAGGGATGTAGAAGAGTTCTGTAAGCGAGAGTTAACTTGTTCAGGTATGGGGGACTTGATAATTGAAACAATGACTTGAGATATACTGAAGTATAACGATGATGAGGACTTGGTGGTAATGAAGAACCCCTTGGTAAATATTCAAGCTTAGCTCCAACGTGGCACGGGTTCAGTTTCGGGGCTTCTTGCGGCTCTACAAGGCTATTATGGAGTTTGGGCTCAAGGTTGGAGGTTCGTGGCTGTGTTTAGGGGCTTCCACACAGGGCTCTGTAAGGGCTTTAAGGGCTTCGGATTTGGGAGTTTAGGGCCGAAACCTAAACCCTAAGCCCTAAGCCCTAAACCCTATTGCTACACCCCAAGCCCTAAACCCTAAGCCCTGAACCCTAAGCCCTAAACCCTAAACCCTGAACCCTAAGCCCTAAACCCTAAACCCAGAGAACTACCCGCCTGTCACATGTCTGATGATGCATCGCCTGTGTGACGAAGGACCCGAGATGTCAGCCAACCGCAACCGGGCAGGGCCAGCTGGACCTGTTCGGTCCAAGCCACATGTGCCGTTTTCCGCCCACGGCCAACATTTCGTTCAGGTCAAGATCCAGTGTGTAACGGTCAAAGAATTCGCCGGGGCATCTCCCGTGCAATATAAAAAGTGGCTCAGCTACTTTAGGACTCTACGAGTACGAGACCCCATATCGGGTACCGCAAGGGCTACTGTTGGGCTTGCTGCTTGATAGGCGTCGTCGGGTGAGAGAGTGATAGGGGTCCGCACAACCTTTGACTGCCCGTAGAAACATGATCAGCGCTCAATCTGCTGCCCCTGTGAACTCTGCATTTGACAGCTGACTGCTTGATGCTGCCTGGGTTTGAGGAAACACAGCGGGCCAGAAACCTTACATGGCAGCACCATTCGACTGCTGACATTGTCTACGCCTCCAGCTAAGGCAAAAAGCAGCAGCGGATTCCATTCTTGCAGCCCGTCAATCGTGAATGTTGCTTTCGACTTCCTGTCACGCAGAGAAGCTCAATGCGATAAGTTGCTGTGGGGTTTGAATTGCTGCACCTGCGTCTCTGTATGCACTGGCACAGGATTGGTCCGGTGCCGTTGACATGGAGCTATGCTGCGTTAAGGCTCGCGCCTGCCTGGCTTTGCAAATCCGGGCAAATAATGCCACAGCTAGCAACTAATTCGGCTTCTAATCGGAGCCCAATGTTGGAATGAGGATTTTAAATGTGTATGATGGTCTGAGCTGTTATCCACGCGGGCAAATTGCCCCCATGCAGTCGTAAGCAGCAAGGGGTCTGCGCCGAAGCAGAGGAGCAAACGAACCATGTGCCAGTCTCTCTCCATTGCTGCGAGATGAAGTGGATAGGTTCGGTACAAACCGCGAAACTACAGTTTAGCCATGTTGAAATCATAGCTGTCACTGTGAATGCCGTGGTGTTGCAGGAACTTGTCCACTTCAGCCCTGGCCTTCTGATGAGACTGCTGCACTCGGACCTTTTGGTACTGTACGCTCCTTTCTTGCTTCTGCTTCGCTTCCCACCTTGCCACTTGGTCCGCGCTGCATTGCAACGCTTCGTCCTGTTCCGGCTCCACTATCTTGCAGCGCCCACCGCGTTGATGGGATGTGTCGTTCGACAACGACATGAGGAGAGGTGAGACTTTCCAGGGTAGCCAAACCAGCTTGAGCCAATTTGGCTTGAGTGGTAGCCAGAGGTTCCAGTTTAGGGTTTACGGTTTAAGTCTTAGGGGCGTGGGGCCTTGCATGAGTGAGTTTAGGGGGTTTTCAAGTTTAAGGATTCAATACTTGGTGGCTTTGGGCTTAGGGTTTAAGTTGAGAATGGAAGAAGCTAGTGTGCTGATTTCCACAACAGCCGGCTACTGAGCTGTAGGTCTATGGGAATCCTACGGAAAAACTGCATCCTAAAAAGCCACGACCCCGAAATACGGTACCCTTATATTCGGCTGAACTCGAAGCAAGGC